TTCAAACTCACTTTCTGAGCCCCAGCTCTGTGCCAGGTGCTGTGGGAGAGCTGGGAATACCCTGGTCCCCGGTGCTGGAGCACAGTCCTCTAGGAGACTGGGTGGAGAAAGGGGTGGGTGGGATGGATGAGGACTGCAAGTAACTCCAGTGCAGGGAGGCACTGCAAGCCCAGAGGACAGAGTCAGGACAGGCAGCAAGGGCTTCCCGGAGGAGGTGCCAACATGAGCTGGGTCCAGGAGAAGCAAGATTTAGACATGGACAGAAGGGGGACATGAGAACATGGAGCAGGGAGAGAAGGGCAGGTGTAAGTAAGGGACAGGTGAAATCTCTCTGCTTCACAACCGCTGATTGCCAGGAGCTGGGGCTGAGCTTTGGCACAGCAGCCCCGGGAAGAGGACCAAGGAGTCTCTATCACTATCCAGTCCCGTAGGGCAAGGGGCCACTTACCTCATCATCTGCCTGCAGGTACATGTGTGCAAAGTCCAGCAGCTCCCGCAGCTCAGCTGTCTGGTTGTGGTAGAGCATAGCCTCCTGGGCGGAGGGAAAGAAAGTGAGGTGAGCTGGGCCTTGCTGCTAGATGGTGGAGGAGATAGAGCTCCTAGGATCTGGGTCCTCTGGCCTTTTTCCAGTTCAAGGATCTGGAAACAGGTATCAGTTTCCATGCTCATCAAAAAACCATAGCTGCTTAAGGTGCTTAAAGTTAAGAAGGATTCCGAGGGCTCAGCGGAAAAGAATGCCTCGATCAATTAGCACCATCTGCAACTGACAAGGAAATCGGAAGTGGCACCATGTATACCATATTTGCCAGTCTTGCCCTGGACTCCCAAGGAGTTTCCTCAGTTGGTCCAGGTGAGGAGGTCCCTGGGGAAGAAGGGCAAAGGCCAGTGAAGATGACGAGGGTGGAGAGGGGAGCAGGCAGGAACAGACAGGTTATTTTTTACCTCCCACCTCCCAGGCACTGTGCTGGTCAGGTAGGCAATACCACCCCCATTTCGCAGGTGAGGCAACAGACTCAGAAAGGTCCATGGTGTTCCCAGGACCACACAGCTCGTGGGGCTGGGTTTGAACCCAGGATTCCAACCACAAACCATATTCGTTCTTTTCATCTCTCATCCTGCCTTTGGAGGAAGCTAGGTTATTTTATCAAATCACATGTCCCGATGCCCACCTCCCTGGGCTGGAAGTCCTCCTCCTCCAGGCCCCAGCGAGCCCTGTGGAAGCGGTAATACACCAGGTTCTGCTGCATGACACTGTCTCCAGGGTCGAAGAGCATGTAGCTGGCGGCACTGCGGGCGGCCTGGCGCACGTCGTTCACTGCAGGCAGGACAGGAGGGAGGAGTGGCCCTGGCACTTCCCCACCTTCAGGGGTAACCCTCACCTAACCCACCCCTACCTCCCAACTTAGTCCAGTGCCCCTGGCACCCCAGCCACCTCCCAGAATCTGTTGAGCTTCTTACCCCACCCAATTTAATAATGCAAGCTAGAATGTATTAGGCACTTCTCCTATGCCCTGTGTAGCTCATTTAAGTTTCACTGTTATTGTTATCCCCATTTTACAGATGAGAAATCTGAGGCACAGAGAGATTAGGTCAACTGCTCCAGCTCACACAGCTGGAGGATGAGGGCACTGGGAAATTAGAGGCTGGTGGCCCAGCCCTCAACCTCTTAGCCAACTGGACCCAAAAAGGGTCTCCTGGCCTCTTGGTCTTCAGCTCCTCCACTCCAACTCCAGCTTCTGTCTGAATCTGGGCATCTCTGCATTGCAGAGACCCTGGAAATCGTCCATCTGAGCCCCAGCTGATGCCAGAATCTCCCTCAAATGGGGAGAAACTTGAGTCCGGGTGTTACTTTTTATTGGCCATGTGACTAATGGCCCCTTGCCCTCTATGAGCCTCAGTTTCCTCACCTGAAAAATGGGCCCAGTAATGTCAGCTATTGGCAGTTTGTGAGAGGATCAAGTGAGGTAAACAGATGTCGCAGGGCTGTCAAGCACTATGCAATTGTTGGCTATCTAGTCATTTACCCAAGAGACCCTGGAATTCTTCCCTGGGGCTTCTCTCTGTTCCTTCCCCGAAGCCTTTCACTTGCCTCCCCCCCCACCTCTAGACTTCCCTTCCATCACCCTGGGTCCTCAATTCTGAGGGACAATGCCCCATGACTCTGCATGACTCCCCACACAGTGCTCTCCCCCGCCCCAAGCCCGCCAGGAGGCTCACATTTGTAGTAGGCAAACTGCAGGTAGTGATACATGGTGGCCACGAACTTTTCCACAAAGTAGCCGCCCACATTGGGGGTCAAGTTGGCCTCACAGTCCACCTTGCACTGCAGGGATTCTGCAAAGAGATCTGGTGGGGGTGGGTAGCAGCAGTGAGGAGCTGGTGTGCTGACCAGCTCCATCCACATCCAATGATAAGGATGACAGAGATGACTTCCAATCCCAGCTCTGCCTCCTGATTGCATGAGATGATGTGTGTAAAGTTACAAGTGATGCTGAGGAAGACTGCTGTGGGCTAGGCTGACTCACCACCCCCACAGCTCACCTGCCACCCCCAAGCCAGAGGGAGCCAGGGCATTCTGGGGGAATGGCAGGTGAGGTTTGGAAGTAGGACTGAAGCCCAGTGAGAGAACCTCAGGACAGTCCTTTCTGCCCTTGCCGAGGGACTCTGTCTTTCAGAATCCCCAAGTGTGACTTCTGGCCACAAACTGCTTTCTGCACACACCTGCTGGTCTGTTTCCCACCTCAGCACCTTGGCACCTGCATTGCCCTCTGCCTGGAAGGCCTGTGACCCCCAACCTCCCCAGACCCTTTTGGGACATCATCTCCTCTCTGCACCGATGCCCAGCACTTTGGACACTCCCCACTGTAGCCCTCTGCGCCCAGTGGCAAGCGACCTGTTAGACTCTAAAGGCTCTGCTGGCCGGCTAGGATAACATCTTTTTCTGATCCGCCTTCCAAGCACTTAGTAGGGGCTCCATAAGTGTGTATGGAATGAATATTTGTGTTAAGGGAACTTAGGAATTCTGGGAAGCAGGGCCTGTGGGTGAGAGGGATGCCCACAGGAGTCTGGGTGAGGGGATACCTGCTATGGCTGGATAGAAGTCCTTGAAGTCCACTTGCTCATGGGCCCCCTCACAGCCAGCCAGACACCGGGCAAAGATGGCCAGGTACTCGGCCAGGGCCCGCTCCATGTCCTCCGTGCTGCTGCGGAAATCCCCGCTGTTGTAGAGCTTCACAGCCCGCAGGAAGACGGCCTGGGGGAGGGAACAATGTGGCAGGGGATCAGAGGTACCCCAACACCTCCCCTCCTCTACAGGCCTGATGGCGGGGTGGGGGTGGGGGCGGTACTCAGGAAGGAGTGTCAGGGCCGGTCCTACACTGGCACCCCACCTCGTAAGGCTGGGCCTCCAAGTCCATGAGGGGCTCGTCCACGGCGTCCAGCAGCCCCCGGTAGTAGTTGAGATACTTGGTGGTGAGCTCATGCTTCGGGTTTCTCTGGAGGAAGGTGTAGGCTGCGGCCACCGCTGGAAACTGAGGTACAGTCTCACCAGGGAACCCTGAAT